GTTACATTCCTCGAGAAAGGTATTATTTTCTGAGCAATTTCTATGTGCTCTCAGATATTGTCTTTATTAGATGGATGCTTTTAATTTATGGGGGTGGTGGCTTTGCCCATGTAGGAGGCTGTTTGTAGAAGTTTTCTGTGTAGTTGGGTGTGAATCGTACCACCTTGCCCTAATCAAATTTTCAAACCAAGAAAAATCATTTCAGTTTCATCAATCACATGAGTGAGTTGTAGATTGATGTCATTGATGTTCAATGTTTGTACTAGTTGTTCAAACTTGGGCACAGAGCCAGACCATAGAAGCAAAATATGGTCTATGTATCTGTACCACTTCAAGATAAACTGACGATATTGTTGGTATGATAAAGCCTCTACAGTACATTGTTCCCACCATCCAAGGAATAAATTGGCATAGCTGGGTGCACATGCTGTGCCCATAGCTGTGCCGATTAGCTGTAAATAATATTTCCCATCAAATATGAAGTAATTGTGTGTAAGGATAAAAAGAAGTACAGATAGTATAAAATCTTTTTGAGAATAACTATAGGTAGTAGTTTCTAGAAAATGTCTACAGGCTTGTAGCACTTTATTGTGTGGTATATTACTGTAGAGTGATACAACATCAAGGCTTCCTAAAAGGGTGTATGGAGGAACTTGGAGTTCCTCAAGTGCAATCAGAGTGTCCTTAGTGTCCTGCAAATATGATGGGAGAGTTTTAATTAATGGATGGTAAATTTTCTCAATGTATTTGCTGGGTTTTTCTGTTAGGCATTCATTGCCAGAAATTATGGGTCTATCTGGGGGGTCCCTCATATCTTTGTGAACTTTCAGAAGACAGTAAAACGTTGGTATGGTCGGATTGAAATTAGGTAAGAGAAACTTGAATTCCTGTTGGGAGATGATTCTGTCATCACACGCTTTTTAAAGCATTTTCTTTAGTTCTTTGAGAAATGCTGTTGTGGGGTCGGAGTGAAGCAATTGATAACAGTTAGTGTCGTTTAGATGTGCCATGCACATTTGAATGTATTTGTTTCTTTCCAAGAGAACTATGTTACCCCCTTTGTCTGCAGGCTTTATGATGGTACCCTCAGGTTTCATGAGTTCCTTAAGTGCCTGTTTCTCTTTTCTATTCAAGTTATTTTCATTGTTTTGTTGGAAATTAACTTGTTCAACTTCTTGCATGGTCAGTTGAACAGTTGGTCAGAAGATCCACATGAGGGACGCCTTTATAAATAAGTAAGACTAACTACTGAATAAAGATGATGTAACTTAAGGGGAACCATTTAAGAAACTATAATATACATACTATGCTTTGAATAATTACATGAAAATGCACAAATGAGAATTAAAAAAAACTTTGCAACTCCCTTCACTGACAAGATCTCTACAATCAGGGAAGAGATCTCTCATCTTTCTTCTTCCCCTTACAATACTTCCACTAACCTCACTCCCTCTGCTGTTCTATGTTCATTCGCACCTGCAACAGCGTAAGAGGTTTCTGCTCTGCTCCCGTCCTCCCGCCCCATCACCTGCTCCCTAGATCCAGTTCCCTTGTATCTCATCCGTACTCTGTCTTCTTCTCCTTCTCTACCTCTCACTAAAATTCTCAATCTCTCTCTCTCGTATGACATATTTCCATCGCCCCTTCAAACATGCAACTGTAAACCCAATTCTAAAGAAGCCCAACCTTGACCCTAACTCCCCATCCAACTACTGTCCTATCTCGCTACTGCCTTTTGCATCCAAGATCCTTGAAAGAGTTGTATATGCGAGATTGACAGACTTCCTCGAACCTTCAGTCTGGTTTCCGCGCTAAGCACTCTGTGGAAACGGCACTGACCAAAGTATCCAATGATCTACTCACTGCAAAATCTCGTGGTCATTACTCTATCCTAATTCCCCTTGACCTTTCTGCGGCTTTTGAGACTGTTGATCATTAACAGCTTCTTCTCATCCTCGCAATATCAGTCTACAATATATTGCTTTCTCCTGGTGCTCCTCCTACCTCTCCCAGCACTCTTTCAGTGTTTCTTTCTCTGGCTCTGCTTTTTCTACCCAATTCCTCTCTGTTGGTTTCCCCCAAGGTTCAGTCCTTGGTCCCCTACTGGTCTCCAGCTATACTGCCTCCCTTGGTAAACTCATTGGCTCCTTTGGCTTCCAGTATCATTTCTGTGCAGATGACATGCAAATCTATCTGTCCTCCCTGATTTCTCCCTGTCCCTCTTGACTAGTGTCTCTGACTGCCTCTGCTTTTTCTAACTGGATGGCTGCCCACTTCCTTAAACTCAACTTGACCAAAACTGAAATTCTGGTGTTTCCTCCCTCAAGTGTTGATACTCCTGTGTATGTCTCCCTCCTAGTCAACGGTGCTATCATCTGCTCCACCATGCAGGCTCGCTGCCTACATTTTCTCTTTGACTCTGACCTCTCCTTCATGCCTCATGTTCAGTCTGTCATCAAATCCTGCGCTTCCATCTCAAAAACATTGCGCACATTCCGACCCTACTTAAGATGCGACTAAAGTGCTGGTCCATTCCACTGTCCTTTCTCGCCTTGACTACTGTAATCCTCTTCTCCGTGGTCTTACGTGCTCCCAACTTGCACCATTACAGTCCATAAAATATGCGGCGGCGAGGCTCATCTTCCTGTCCGTCCGCACCTCCCACGCCTCACCCTTCTATCAGTCCCTACATTGTCTTCCTGTAAGATATATGGCTCAATTTAAAATTCTGGTTCTTGCTTTCAAATCTCTACATAATGCTGCTCCCACCTATCTATCCTCCCTAATACACAAGTATGTCCCATCTAAGCCCTTACGCACTGCTGAAGACTTACTTCTATCCTCTGTCCATACTCCCACCTCTGATGCTCGCCTTCAAGACTTCTCGAGGGCTGCACCGTTCCTGTGGAACTCACTTCCCTCCTCTGTTAGATGCTCAACCCATCTCCACTCCTTCCTGTAAAGCGCTACGGAATTTGTTGGCGCTATATAAATAATAACAAAAGAAGAAGAAGAAGCATTCCACCATGTATTAAATAGTTTTTTGGGTTCATTTTATATGCAAGGAAAAATCAGATAGATTATATTTTTTTTCCTCAAGACTTCCTTCTCATGTCTATTGTCTCTTGTCTGGGGTCCGCTTTGCTTCCTGTGCAGTGTGATATGCTACATCTTTGGTGCTATGCACAGAAGTCATGTATACAAATTATGTTGTGTCTCCTGTCATCATGTGCTTCAGATGTCCCTATGGAGGTGACCACAGGAAAGTATACATTGGAGGAGGTTTTGTATAGCAATTTCACTTTAATAATTATTTTATACTTTTTATTTGATATAGAGTAGATATGTGATATGCATTGTGAGTATAAACACCAAAGCATTATCACTTTGATTATTTAGTTATGACACTGTATTTTTTTAAATTTGTTTTTATCCCATAAAAGTGTATGATATATATTCACAATGCTCTTACGACAGATTGATTAAATACACTTTAGTTCAACACTAACGCTGTTTAATTTGGCTCCCATGTTGATATTAGTATAGGACCCACTGTTATTGGGGTATTGTGGCATAGTGATGGACTTAACACAACATGGCCATATGGTGGAACTGAATCGCCATATTTGTTTGCTGAGATAGGTGATTTTAAGTAGCCTTGTAAAATATAAAAAATAATATAATAATAATATGAGAAATCATCATATATATAATGTTTGGTCTCCATGGCAGCATCACTGCTAAGAAATGCATATACCGGGTGTGCCCTCAATTCCTTTTTTTTTTTTTTACCATGTGCTTTAAAATGATGAATTATTGCTAATATGAGCATAGGCATACTATTTACAACTGCAATCCTAAAATGTCTCAATTACTAACCTCAAGATTGGCTACTGAATTGGCTTCTGGCCTCAGTGGCCACCCTGCCTTTGTTCATGTTTTGCATTCTGTTTCAACTGAAGCCTTTACTCCTTAGGGAGAATAGTTATGAAATAATAATATTTAGTTGGAGAGATCAGTTGGACATTTTAACTGTTGAAGCAAACACAGAGAATATGACCCAAAACACACAGCCAAGGCAACAAAGGAGTGGCTCAAGTAGAAGCACATTAAGGTCCTGGAGTGTCCTAGCCAGTCTCCAGACCTTAATCCCATAGAAAATCTGTGGAGGGAGCTGAAGGTTCGAGTTGCCAAACATCAGCCTCGAAACCTTAAAGGAATACTATAGGGTCAGGAACACAAACATATATTTCTGACCCTTCAGTCTTAAAACCACCATCTAATCCCCCAGCCCTCTCTTGCCTCCCTAAATATAGTAAAATCTAACTTGTATTCAAACTTGCAGCTGCTTGCTCTGCTCCTGTCTGCCTCAGATTAGCAAGCTGTCTGCTGACATAATCATAAGTGTTGTTCTGAGCCAATCACAGTGCTGCTCCGTAGGATTGGCTGAGACTGTGAAGGAGGCAGATCCGGGACAGAGCCAGCACAAGTCAAACACAGCCTTGGCCAATCAGCATCTCCTTATAGAGATGAATTGAATCAATTAATCTCTATGAGGAAAGTTCATTGTCTGCAGGAGATACTGACAGGCCCGGACTGGCCATCGGGCACACCGGGCAAATGCCCGGTGGGCCGCGGTGGCCGTGGGGCCGAGAGATCACATGATCTCTCCTGCCGGTCTTTGCAGGGCCGGCGCTATCTGAACGCCGGCCCTGCAGTAGTCTCCAGCGGGCCGGTGGGGAGATCAGAGATCTCCCTCACCGGCCCACATGCAGGATAGTGCGGCCGCCGGGGGAGAGAGGGAGGGAGCCAGCCTGCCAGCAGAGGAACCCAGCGGAGCTTTAACTAACAGCTCCGCCGGGTTCCTCTCGCGAGATTCGGAGCGTTGCCATGGCAACGCTCCGGGTCTCGCGAGAGTGAACTCTAGCCTCACAGGCTAGAGTTCACTCACCACTAAGACCACCAGGGATGGATTGCAGCCCCAGCAGCAGGATCCCCCTCCAAGGCTAAAGGTAAGCAAGGAGGGGGGAAATAATCACCTAACTAACATCAGCCTCACAGACACCCAAAACACTCACAGCACCCTCATTCACACACACTCACACACACACACACACACTGCACCCCTGACACTCACACACACACACTGCACCCCTGACACTCACACACACACACTGCACCCCTGACACACACACACACACACTGCACCCCTGACACTCACACACACACACACACTGCACCCCTGCACCCCTGACACTCACACACACACACTGCACCCCTGACACACACACACACACACTGCACACACACACACACACACACACACTGCACCCCTGACACTCACACACACACACACACACACACACTCACACACACACACTGCACCCTGACACTCACACACACACACACACACACACTGCAACCCCTGCACGCACACACACACTGCACTGCTGACACTCACAGCACACACACACTGCACCCCTGACACTCAGCACACACACACAAACACACACACTGCACCGCTGACACTCACAGCACACACACACACACTGCACCACTGACACTCACAGCACACTCACACACACACTGCACCCCTGACACTCACAGCAGACACACACTGCACCCCTGACACTCACAGCACACACACTGCACCCCTGACACTCATAGCACACACACACACACTGCACCCCTGACACTCACAGCACCCTCACTCTCTCTCACACACACACACACACTGCACCCCTGACACTCACAGCACCCTCACTCACACACACACACCTGCACCCCTGAGACTCACAGCACACACACACTGCACCCCTGACATGCACAGCACCCTCACTCACACACACTGCACCCCTGACACAGCGCACACACACACACACTCACATCACCCTAACTCACACACACACACTGCACCCCTAACACTTACAGCACACACACACACTGCACCCCTGACATGCACAGCACACACTCACTGCAACTCTGACACGCACAGCACACACATACTGCACCCCTAACACTTACAGTACCCACACACACACACACACTGCACCAGCTTCCTCACACACACATAGCACCCTCACGCAAACACAGCACCCAATCACACACAGCACACACACACAGCACCCTTACCCACATAGCACCCTCACGCAAACACAGCACCCATCACTCACATACTACACACCTCAAACACACTGCACCCCTCTCGCACACACACTACACCCCTTACACACACACAGCACCCTCACACACACTGCACAAATGCTTTCCTAGCATTTTTGTCTCCTGGTATCCCACCTATGGAGACACCAGAGACAAATTTCAAGCAAACACAGTGCAAGTATGTTATTGAATTTGCTTGCGCTGTGCAGAACAAATACAGGGTCTTTTTCTCATGCCAGAGCTCTTCAGCAGAGCTTTGCGCATGGTCTACCCTGGAAGAGCATTGAACCAACATGCTCACTTTGTGATGGGGCGTGCTTGTCATTGGTGATGACAAAACACACCCTATCTGGCCCGCCCCCTTTGTAGTGGGCCGCTGTAATTAAAAAATGCCCGGGCCGAATTATCTTCCCAGTCCGGCCCTGGATACTGATATGTTGTGATGCACACTAGGCAAGACTGAGATAGAAAGCAGCTCTAGCAGCCATCTGAGGAATGTCCAGTGAAGTTATCACTAGGCCGTAATGTAAACACTGCATTTTCTCTGAAAAGACAGTGTTTACAGCAAAAATCCTGAAGGGTATGATTCTACTCACCAGAACAAAGGCAATACGCTGTAGTTGTTCTGGTGACTATAGTGTCCCTTGACTTGGAGAGGATCTGCAATGAGGAGTGGGACAAAATCCCTCCTCAGATGTGTGCAAATCTGGTGGCCAACTAAAAGAAACTTCTGACCTCTGTGATTGCCATCAAGGGTTTTGCCACCAAGTACTAAGTTGAAGGGGTCAAATACTTATTTCATTCATAGACATGCAAATCAATTTATAACTTTTTTAAAATGCATTTTTCTTAATTTATTTTTTGCTACTCTGTCTTACTGTTAAAATATACTGACTATTAAAATTATAGACTGATAATTTCTTTGTCAGTGGGCAAACATTCAAAATCAGCAGGTGATGAAAAACTTTTTTCCCTCACTGTATGTCTTTTGCATACAAAAATGATCCCGCCCATAGAGGCAGAACAGATCCAAATGTTCTCAAATTCTCTCTACAGTAATCCCGGATGATGGTTTTGTTCTTCTTTGAGCCTTGTCAGCAAGGTGTAGCTGATACCCCTCTAGGCACAGTGATCCCAGAATTGATGTCTGGATTACCTACCTAACCTACTTCACATGCAACACCTGTTTGCTGTTTGTAGTAACTGGCAAAGAAATGAAACAATCAAGGCTAGGTACAGACCAGGGCTATCTGGAGACATGGTCAGGTTAAGCAGAAGAGATGAGTCCTGGTAGCAAAGTTTCTTGAGTGGTAGGCAAGCAGGAGAGTCAAATGTCAGAGGAGCAAAGTAACAGCTAAAGGCAACTCTAATAGGAAGCACATTGAGGATGGGTTGGAAGAGGCTTGATATAGGGTCAAGGACAGGACCATCTTTTATATTCATTGAACCCTTTTATATTCATTGGACCTTCATTGCACCCTGTGCACCCCACTTCCTTGTATGCAATCATGCTTTCCACCCTCCACCCCCAAATTAAAATAACACATTCAGATACAAACACTGACACACAGATACACAGAACACACAATGATACACATACAGACACACAGGCAGATACATAGACACACATATACACATGCAGACACACATATAGATACACATATACACAGATATACACATACAGGCAAACAAATACATACACATACATCAGATATACATACAAACAGATACACACAGAGACAAACAGATACACAAACACATGCAGGTACACAGACACACATACATACATACATATATACACAGACATACATACAAACACATGCAGATGCACACATAAGACACACATACAGATATACATCAGCTACACAAATATACAAATAGAGATATACTGATACACAGATACACATACAGACACACAGACACACATGCAGAAATATAGACACACATCAGACATACAGATACACGTACACACACAGATTCACATTTAGACACACAGATTCACATACAGACACAGATTCACATACAGACACATACACATGGAGACACACATGCAGACATACAGGCACAAATATACACATGCAGACACACAGATACAGATACAGATATAGACACACAAATAAATATACATGCAGACACGCCTATCTACACACAAACAGACACATAGATACAAACAAACAGACACACAGATATACATACAAATAGATACACAGACACACACAGATAAACAGACACACAAATATACATACAGATACATACAGATAAACTAACACACATGCAGGCACACATACAGACACACAGATACACATACAGATACATGCAGACACACAGATTCACATGCAGACACACAGATTCACATACAGACACACAGATACACATACAGACACACAGATGCACATACAGATACTCATACAGACGCATATAAACATGCAGATACACAGATACACATATAGACACACAGATAGATACACATGCAGACACACATATATACACACAAACAGACACACAGACATACATACAAACAGACACACACACAGATATACATAATAAACAGATACACAGACACACTCAGATAAACAGACACACAAATATACATACATACACATACAGATAAGCTAACACACATACAGACACACATGCAGGCACACATACAGAAACACACACAGATACACATACAGATACATGCAGACAAATAGATACACATACAGACACACAGATTCACATATAGACAAACATGCATGGACACAGATAGATACACAGTCACACAATCAGACAAACATGCATTTTTAGCCACCATCCTGTTTCCTACCTTTCAGTTGCTTCCCTAGGTGATCCGAAATGCTTTCTTTGTATGTTATATCGAGTTAAGGGTCAAAATTATTGTTTCATGACTGAAGACACAAAACATTTAAGAATTCTATGAATATCAAATTCAAAATGCCATGGGAAAATGTTGATTTTAATTTAGATGAAATAATATTATTTGCATTCTCCAGAATCCTGACTTTTAAATGTCTGGGTCAGGCATGGAAAATTATCCCTGGGTATTCTGGTTCTGAGAAATGATTTCAGCCAGGAAATAAATGAGTTAAATAGAAAAAGTCTACTAGTGTCATTGGAATAAAACATATTATAAGCAGCAGACAAATGCTTAGAAAGAAGTTAAACAAAATCTGCTAGATGGCAATCTGCTAAATTACAAAAAAAACAAAAAAAACAACTCCAGTTATTATTGACATTTGTGCTTATAAATAAGGCATTTACCTTTCACTTCTAGAAATTATATAACCAAGAGGTCTGTTAGAGAATTATAATGTAAACACTCATATAAAACATATACACTATATAACACAAAGACACTAAATAACTAATGCATTTTGTAACGGCTACCCAGCTGGTAAGGGGGTATCTGCCATTGGAGACGTCCTTTTCCTGGCAAGCTGCTGTGTAGTAATGGAGTTCTTATTCCAATCCACGAGATCCAAGGGTAGAGTCAGGCATAACTGTAAAATGGAGCAGAGTAACTGTACAATAAATCCCCTTCCAAGAACGAGACAAGGCTACGTTTTGAAGGGTCAAGCAGAACTGATGTTTATTGACAGGGGTCTCCTTTTATGCAATGCTGCTCTGGAAAGGGCTACACCTTCATAATTAACACAGTACCCAATCACAAACATGGTACAACCCCCATGTCTCCTCCCCTCAGATAAACATTTAACATAATTATAACACACACAATTTTACCCAAGTTCTGGATGTACCCCAAAACCAGGGGGTACACCCTTAAATCCAGTATCCCGATAGCTCTTGTTCAGGGGAACAACATATCAAAAATCCAGCCCATTCGGTTAAAGTGTTCGGGAGTTATGGGTCTTTGAAGTTTTGACCGACCGCACAGACTTTCTAGCCAAAAATAGTTCCACAAGTTTTGGCCTTGCAGTCGGTCCCCGTTCGTGCATTGAAAACCCACAAAAATCTTGCCATCCACAGCTATCTTGGCATTCGCCGGAATCCCCATGCATGGTTTAGTCTTTCTACCGAACGGCCGGCTGTTAGGTAGTTTCAGCACGAATCTACGTTGTCACGGAGGTCTCAGCGGTGTTCGCCTGTTTGTGTATCCGTTTTTAGTTCCACACGATTGATGGCAAAACACCGCTGTTCATGCGTAAGATGGCTGCGAACACGTGCAAAGTCCCG